TGAAGCATTGTTAGACTTTCGTAGCATTTGCATTGTCATTTGGAAATGGTTCTGAAATGTGTCGCCTCCAGATCAGCTTTGAGACCCTGGCCCTCTGTCCTGCGCTAGAATGCGGCAGGTTCACTGAGAACATGGCTCTCTTAGGCTTGGGTTTGTAAATCACGGAACGACTTACTCAAGAGGTGGCTTCCGCTGATTTCTTTACTTACCACATCAACATGGTGGTCCAAAACCAGGGGAGATACTTACTAGCCACGAAGTCGCTTGTATGACCCCAGCGCCTTCTGGGTGGGGTTATCAAAAGTGCTCGGCCTTGGCGTAACTCTGTAAGCTTCCAGTGACTTCACTGGGAGCAGAGTGAGACCAGCGCTGAGCATCTGCTAGGCCTGCCCCTGGTACTGTAGGAATGCAGGGTTCCATTAGACACAGTACAGCGGGGCCCATTAGCAGATGTAAATGCTCCCGTTGCTTTTCTAGCTGCGTTTATTCTGGGCCAAACCATCTCCCCGTCACCGCTTCCTCTGCAGAGCAGGTTGCATGAAAATCAAACGCTCTCCACATCTCAGGCTGCGAGATGACGCTCACGGGGCATGGTTCTTTTACAGTCCCCTGGATTATTGCACGTGGTGCAGAACACGCCACCAGCAGGCACACGGCACGTTCCACTTTCATACAGCAGAGACTGGCATGGGCCAGAGATATTGTACATGGTGTTTCTTCACTTACTGAGCTGCAAGATTCAGTCATTCATGATGGCTTAGTTTGCAAAGGGCCTAAACACACAAGAGGCAGCATGCATTGGTGGTTCAGGGCCCGGCATGGGAACAGGATCTGCTCTGTCTGCCTTGCTCTCCTAGGTATGGTGATCCCCTCTGTGAGGTCTCTCAGGCGGGGAGAGAAGTCTTGGGAAAGGAGTCATCCACTTCTCCCCACCAAGAAGGAAGCACAACCAGGGGATTGTTCTTGTTTTCTGGGTGGGGGGGCTTGTGCCCATTCTCCTAAGCTCCCATCTGCTCCCACTGCTCTCAGCCTGGCAGAGACCAGCTGGCTCCAGCGCATGCCACATCCTCTTCCCTGGGCCCTGCCTCAGCAATCCGTGGCTTGGGCACACCCACGTCTCTCCGGCCTTTTTCTGCAGCAAGGGAAACCCAACGTGAATCTCACGCTTGTCACTGAGATTGTCGGTTTTCCTAAAATACATGATGGTGGTGAAAATAATCAGCCGTAGTAACAATGGAATAACAGCCGGGGTTAGAAACGTCATCACTTCATTCGAATGAAATCACATCTCTAGCCTGCACTTTGCAACGGTCAGCCCTGGTCCTGCAAGAGGATTGCAGTCAGTGGGACTTCGTGTGGGGCACGGGCCCTGCAGGACTGGGGCTGACAGATAGGGAGACTGCACCACGTGGATGGGGCAGCAGTGAGTGATGGTAAGAAGCCTAGAGGGGAGTAAGGGAGCCATGAGGAGAGAGGACTGGGAGGAGTGCAGAGAACCAGGCACATGACCTGAAATAATAAGGGTGAGGAGCTCTGGTTTGCCATGAGACGAGCCAGGAATCCAGTGAAGGGCGCCAGGGTTGGAGCAAAGGGAGAGTCGGTGACTTTAGCAGCTGTGGTTTGGATAGTGGATGGGAACTTGCCATCCCATGGGCAGTCTCCATTCCCTACCCTCACCGTGTTTCTGAGGGAGCATTGGCTGGCAGTGACACCAGCAGGGGGAGATCTCTGAGACAGCCATAGATCTCAGAGCTTTGCCAATGCTGGCCTGTGTCATTATCCCTGTTTCACAGATGGGGAAACTGAGGCACAGGGCAGGGATGTGACACAGCAACTTTGGTCTCCTGACTCCCATGCCTGGCCCCTAAGCACCAGTCTGTGCTGGAGACTAACCCATCATGAACGTTGCAAAATAGTAAATGAAGAAAATCAACTGAAAAGCCAGGATAATGCATCATGAAAGTGTACTTTGTTCATTTATTTTGACAATTGCAGCCTCATTTTAATTATTTATGATTCTACTTTGTTATGTTCTGTAGCCAAGCTGGTCAAAGTAACAAAGTCTTAGCACCGCCTGTTACTGGAGACCTGGGGGCAGCAGGCTGTCGGGAAGTCTTTGTGGAGGTGCGGTGAGAACCCGCACAGGGGACGAGTGAGGTGCTCTGCACCTTGTATGTTGGGGAACACCTTGCTGCTCTCGAACGCCCTTTCTCAGGATTGTTTAGTGAGTTGCTTTTATATTAAAGGCTTTACATTACATTACATTACGTTAAAAGGCTGTGCCTAGTAAAAGCCCCTTTGAATGTGAGTCTGTCTTTCATGTGGAAACAGACTTGGAGAGATAGTGACGGGGGTGTGATGGGATCCTCGGGGTACAACCTTGAACTGGGGTACCGCTGTGCCCCCTTAGCGCTCCAGCCTGGGCTGTCTCTCACAGTGCTTTGCTAGTGACAGCCAACAAACCCCTCCAGGTGCTGTGATCACTCAGCACAACAGCATGTGGAGCCCCACACCCAGCTAGATTGCATGAATGCTCCCTGAGCCACTCACAAATCACACAGGGAAAGGCACCAGCCAGTTTCCCCCAGCTCCCCAGCCATGCACCCCAGACCAGTGTATGGTTATTACCCGTCCGCCCCTCCCTCAATGTGGAGAGGACACGCACCAGCCTTTGTAACTGAGCTGAGATTTCCCAAGCACTTCAACCAAAACACACTGCTTTCGGTAAAATATAAAACAGGTTTATTAACTACAGAAAAAGCGATTTGAGTGATTATAAGTGGGAGGCATAAAGGGTCAGAGCTAGTTACCAAAGAAAATAAAAGGTAACTGCAAAATCTAAAGCTTAAACCTTATTGGACTAGACAGTATTTGGATCGAGCAGTTTGCTCACCCCCCTGGATGTTACAGTTCTTAATACACAGGCTTCTCCCTTAAGCCTGGACCAGTCTCCTCGGTCGAAGTCTTTTGTCTTTCCAATGTTCTTATTGCTTCCAGCCTAGGTGGGGGAGGAGAAAGGTAAAAGCATGATGTCCTTGTCCCCTATTTTATAATCTTAGTCCATGTGCCTAGAAAACGCTTACCCAAACATGCCCTGGTGGACTTTGCTGCGTCACAGCGTTGAGCAATTCCCCCGGTGTGGTCTTGTGCAACTGAGTCACAGAACTGAGAAGTCCCCATTGTGTGGTGCTTGTGCAATTGTCATTGAATTGCAAACCCCTTGATTACACCTCCCTTGCTGATTAATGGTGGATTAACACCCTCCTGGGAGAATCTCAACCTTACAGCGTATGTCAGTAACAACCATACAGCAAAATCTCATAACTGCATACACACTGATGCCAGGGCCGGCTCCAGGCACCAGCCCACCAAGCTTGTGCTTGGGGCGGCACCTGGAGGGGGGCGGCGCTCCGGCCCCCGGGGAGAGCGGGGCCACGGCCGGGCTCGCCGCCCTCCCCCCGGCGCTCCGGCCGCCCCCCCCCCCGGCGCCCCGCCCCCGGGGCCCCGGCCGCCCCCCCCCCCCCCCCCCCCGGGGGGGGGGGGGGGCGGCCGGAGGCTTTTTTGCCTGGGGCGGCAAAAAAGCCAGAGCCGGCCCTGACTGATGCTATACGGGTTTCAGCAGATCATGACCTTTCATATGATATCTTACTGGCCTGCTTTGTATGAAATATCACAACCATCTAGGAATGATGAATATGGGGGGTACAGGGCGCTATTTTGAGGTACAGGGGGTGTTACCTCATTACCTTTTCTGAGGATTCAAAGCCTGGTGCTGCAGCTGTGGGGAGCTCATTCTCTTAGCCATTCTCACTGGGTCTCTCTCTCTCCCCGGCCCTGACGTAGCTCTGCCTGAGACTGGTTTTTCATCAGTTGTGCGCACTGGGATTATGCCTAATTTACATTTGTGTGAGAGCAGAATCCAGCCACGTGTCCGGGGTGCTTATTGGGAGGGGTAGCAGCACCGTGCTATGCGTGAAGAGGAATGCATTAGTCTGCCTCTGCTTTGCTTGTGAGCCCAGCCCCGGGTGCCAGAGAATCTCACGTGACCGTGGAAATGGGGTAAGAATCTGTAGCTACATCATTCCTAGCAGGCTACATGTCGAGCCGTGTTGGCCATCAAGGGCAATCTCACTGTGACCAGCTGGTGGGCCAGTCTGACCGGAGCTGGAGGCATCTGTCGGGTGCAGGAGAACTAGTGGGTCTGCATGTGTGTCATTTCCAGGAGGACTGTGATGGGGCGCAAGAATCACTGTTACACATGTATCTGGTCAGTTTGCGCTTTATGCTCAGGCTGATGGATGAACCTCTCGCACTCGCATCTGCTGCCTGCAGACCCAGCACATTGACAGCAGAGGGGAGGGATAGCTCAGTGGTTTGAGCATTGGCCTGCTAAATCCAAGGTTGTGAGTTCAATTCTTGAGGGGGGTCACTTAGGGATCTGGGGCAAAAATCGGTACTTGGTCCTGCTTGTGAAGGCAGGGGGCTGGACTTGATGACCTTTCAGGGTCCCTTCCAGTTCTATGAGATAGGGAGACATGCACTTCCAGTGTGTCCCTGGGCCCCAGGCATGACGAATATTGGGGGTGGAAAATGGATTTTTGCATGTTCTTGATGCAATGGCTTCTTTGCTGGGAGACACGGCAGGTTTTGCTCAAACAAGAGTTCATTTTGCCTGAGAATTAGGGCCTGTTTCACTTGAAAATAATCCAGATCCCCACCTGAAATATTGCACTGAACTGCTCCCAATTTCAAACTCGTAACAAAGTGCAAAAATCTCAAGCCCTGAATAACTTTCCGTGTTCATAGGAATATTTTGCTCTCCTCTCAGACGCTAGGAATTGCAAGGGGCTGGCCCCGGGAGCTGTACAGACCAGTGGCCAGTGCTGGAACTGAAAGCGATGGCTACGACAAAGTAATGTTACTGACCTGCCCGCTCCAGCGTCAAGTGCCATCTGCTCTGTGCGGTTGACTTACAGTTCTCTCTTCTCCCTCTCTTCCAGCCCCTTCTGCTGTGTCCATCATGCACCAGGTCAGCCGGACGGTGGACAGCATTACCTTATCGTGGTCTCAACCTGACCAGCCCAACGGAGTCATCCTGGATTATGAACTGCAATACTTTGAGAAGGTATCAGCAGAGCCTGGGGCCGCCCACTGTTAATGTGGGCATGGGGAGAGACGGCTCAGACCTTTGCCATCCTTGAGGGAGATGCTTTGGGGGACTGACCATCACAGCCAGAGATGGCATGAGCCCCGGGGGTATGTGACGGCCCAACAGGTGTCAGATGCAATCGAAGAGAATAACAGACGGGCACCGAGGCTGACAGAGTCAGTCTGGCGGTGTGTATTAACCCTTCGGATCCCAGGGAATGAATGTGTAGGGCAGGACACGCTGTAGTCTCCATGCGGCTAACTCTGGTTGGGCGATATAGCGGGTTTGAAAGGGAATGAGGAGTCACTGAGGAGGAGTTCTTGAGGCCGTGGGAGGAGTGTCCCAACCTTCAATAATCAAGAGCTAGTGGCTATCAGCGCCATTGCAGGCTGGCCCTTCCCTCCAGTTTGCTAAAGCCGAGGTCCCAGGGACTTGTTAGTCCCTTTCCCTGGAGCAGGAACTGTGCTGGCTGGAACCTCGCGAATTGATACACTAGTATCTTGGGGCCAAATTCCTGCTTGCTGGAACTCCACGGAGTCAATGGTTTTACACCAGGGATGAATTTAGCTTCCAGTGCCAGTCTTAAGGGCTTCTCTGCATGAGCATTGTTTGCACCAGTGCAGCTGAACCAGTGCAGCCTCCAGTGTGCATGTGTTGCACTGGCAAAAGCTGGGCTTGCACTTCCCCGTGTATACGCGTTGTACAAGTACGAAGCTGGGCTTGCACTTCACAATGTATATCTGTAGCACCAGTAGGAAGCAGGGCTGGCACTCCCCAATGTGTATGTGTTGCTCCTGTAGGAAACTGGTCTTGCACTCCCCCGTGTGACTTATCCGGGGATAGAACTGTGATAAGTGGTGCTGGTGCAAGCTCCACTTTACACGAGTGCAGTGCATCTGTGCTGGGGGTCTACACTGATGCAGCTACCCCAGTGCAATGCCCTATGGGACGGGAGCTGATGTGAGAGGTTGGAAGAGATCCAGGTGGAATGGCCCTTCTGAGTGAGAATCCGTCCCTCTCCAAAACACGCCCCATTCCAGGTGCCACCAGCCCAGCCAGAGAAGCGAAGAGGGATTCTGTGTTATTCAGTAGAACTCACCCTGCACAACAGGAGGAAGTTCACGGGCCAGGACTGTAACTTGCTTTGCATGGTGGGGAGGTGTCTGACGGGCTGGCTTTGTGCTGCCAAGGCCTGCCGTGCTGGGGGTCTGTGCAGGGTCGCAGGAGAAGGCCCAGCCTCAGTGAGTGGTGCTGAGGCTTTGGCAGGATGGACCCCGCTGGGAGCGGGAAGTGGGGGGCAGGAGCCTTCTCCTCCCAGGAGCACATCTCTGCCGCAAACTACACATTAAAAAATAAACTCAAAAAATCCCCACCTAATTAAAACACTTTATGATTTAAATGAAACAGAAAATTTTTCCCAGCAGCTGCCTGAGGAAATGATTAATCCCCGTTGCTCCCTGCCCGTGACCTATTTTCTCAGCACCAAGAGCCAGAGGGAGAGGGGGGAGGGGAGAGCCGCTTTGTAAGCTGTAAAATAGGTCCTGACCTATATTGCATAAATCAGAGCCATTTACTTGACCCCTGGAAATGATCCCAGAGAACATAGCGAGTTGGATGGGGAGATAACCAGACAGATCCAGAGAGGGGTCCCAGCCCAGAGACACTCTAAGCAGCAAGAGAAGCTCTCGGGGAGTTTATTCGCTCGTTCTCTCTCTCTCTCGGTGGGGGTGTAAATACAGGGAAATGGTCTGTAAAGCCAAAGCTGTGTCCTACGCCCCGTCCGCTGGGCTGTGGCTGGCTGCTGGAGGAGACTGCTCTCCTCCTTGCTCTTAGAGATTATTGCATCAGAGGCAAATGGTCTTGCTGACAAATGGCACAACTAATGCCAAGATGTAGTGGTTCATACAGCTTACAATGCAAATGGCGCTGGGGCCCTGCCAAGGAGCCTGGGCTGGAATTTGCTGCCAGCGTTAGCAGTGGGCAGAAGGGAATATTCTAACCCCAGCCCTCCTTTGCCTTGCAGAGGGAGGGGCTGGTGCCCATGCTACAGTGACATTTTGGGCTTGTTTTGACATTTGGACAAGTTGGTCCTTGTCCTGGCCACTGTCAGCTCTCCACCCGCCAGAAGGTGGGAATGAGCAACAGGGGAGGGATCACTTGATGATTCCCTGTTCTGTTCATTCCCTCTGGGGCACCTGGCATTGGCCACTGTCGGAAGACAGGAGACTGGGCTAGATGGACCACTGATCTGACCCAGTACGGCCGTTCTTATGGTCTTATGTTCACCTTGCTCTGTTTCGTCCCCAAAACTGAAACAAGTGTATCTGCTTTTCATTGTGAAATGACTTTTCATTTCGAAATTGATTTTATTTTAAATTCGAATGCAGCACAAAATGAAAATGTCACAATTGGAATAAAACGCTTGGATTTTATCACAGCACAATGTTTTCAATTGACCCAAAAAAGTTTTTTTTCCCTAAATTTAGTTTCAGAGAAAATTGTAAATGTTGTTGGTTTTGTTCCAGTTCGGAATGAAACCAGTTTCAGAATGTCAGTGTTTCCCGCAGAGCAGAAATTCTGAGCTTCAAATAGCTCCAGTTGTCATTAAAACCATCATGTGGGCCCAAACTATGATTTTCATCCCTTGTAACTAGGCCAGACCCAGAAAAACCCCTTTGCTCCCTAAGGGATCTCTCCTTGCTAGATTTCAGCTCCCGACCCCAAGCAGCTTGGACGCCAGAGCTGTTTAAAAGTGGCAACTTTGTTCTCATCATGGAAAAAGTGCGCTTGCTCCACTTGAAAACCCAGAATTGTCTTTGCTCAAAGTTTCCAAACAAATTCACTCCTGGGTAGTAACCAGCCCTGGAGAATTTCAGCTCCAAAGGTTGTGAGCACCTGAAAAATGGGGGGTTCCAATGGAAAAGCTTAGGACAGACAGACTCTGGACTCATTAGGGAGTTAAGAGAAGCAGAGGCCAGAAAGCCTTTCTCCAAACCGTGCTGGCGTTTGGTGCAGGTTATTTTGCATTTCCAGTCAGTGTCACACAGGGAAAGGACAAAGAATAATGGAAGAACGGTTGGGCTTGGCAGGCCCAGGAAGGTGTTTGGTGGCCAGCTGTCAGCCCTGTACCGACACCTCTGTAGGTGTGTCTGCGCTGCCCTCCGGGGATGTGATTGCAGCTGGCACAGGTAGCAAAGCAGTGAACCCAGGCTAGCTGCACAAGTAATTCTCAGGGGTCCAGGAGGGCTCGTCCAGCCCCTATTGCAGCCAGTGTTGCTGTGGCTTCACTGCTGGCAAGATTAAAACGAGCCCAGCTTTGCGCTGTCGGCATACCGTGTGCACGTGCATTGGTAAGACCAGGCTGTAGCGAGACTGAGCAGGAGGGGGCTGGGCGGGATGGGAGCGCTGGGCCCAGGGCTGTGAGAGCGGAGGCGCAGTCCGTTTGTTCGCTGAGGGAGGGGAGCACTGGGAGGGGCAGGGAGCCCTGCTGTATGTTCACGTACTAATCCCAACATCCCCAGGGCTGGGGAAGTCCAGACTCAGGGGGTAGTGGGGCCTGCCCCAGCCTGTGACACATGAGGCTTCTTGAGAACCACATCTCCCCCGAGCCAAGGCTAGGAAAGAAACGGGGAGGCATTTCTAAGTCATTCCATGTTACCTGGGCAGCTCTGGAGCGGGGCTGGGCTGGGGAAAACCGTGTAAACTCATCAAGTGCTTGTTGCAAAACGTGATGGACAAGACACTGACATTGGGCCGGTTCCAGCCCCCATTGTGCCGGGGGTGGAGGTGAGTTGGCCCTAGATCCAGCCTGCGATTCCACGGTGCTGCCCACGTTTCAAAGCCTGCAGCATCAGACAGAGAGGACACTGCCCTAAGTAATGGCCTAGCTGGCCCTGCTTGGGGCTTGGAACTGACGATTCTTCCTTACTTGTCTGCTGGACTGATTCCTCCTAGGAAGAATGTTCTTCATCCCCTACCAAGTGAGCTGGTCTAGCTCCTCCTTGCAGGCTGACAATCCCGCCCCCAGATTGTTAGTATCCCACCCTCTGTGCAGCGCAGTGCCCTGAAATGCCTGAAGGCACCACTCCTGGACTGACCAATGTAAAGCAGGTTCAAGAGGGAGGATTTTGCCTCTGGACTGGGAGGTTTGATGCTCTTTCCTTGCAGACCAGGTGCCTGTTGAGGCTGTGAGTGGCTTCTGCCCAGCACCCAGATGTCTTGCATGAGGCGCTGAGAGCACCTGATTCAATATTCTTGTAAAGCAGCTCGCCTTGCAGGCGCAGGCTGGTTGGCTGCTCCATTTCCTTAAGGGGCAGATTAACCTGGCAATTGCAACATTTTCATTTGGGCCTCGCTGGCAGGTTTTGATGATCAAAGGGACCTGCCTTTCCAATGTATTTATAACCCCCAAACCAATCCCAGTGCCACAGTGGAACAAAGGAGAAGCGCATATTCGTGGAGATTAGCACACCCCTCACAATGCCCTAAAGGCCCAGTTACCCCAGGTTACCTCCACCGCACTGGCCGTGCACCTCCTGGGAGTGGAAAGGTTCAGTGCTACAGTCCTCAATACTCCATTAGTAAACATGTCGTAGGAGAGCCCCGCCCGGGTTATAACAGCCCGTACCTTATTGGAAGATTGTTACCAGGTCCCCGCTTAATCTTCCTTTCTCAGGACTAGACATGCCCAGAATCTTCCCTCCTAGGCCAGGCTTTCTACACCTGGTCCATATCTGCCTTAAAATGTGGTGCCCAGAGCTGGACACAGGACTCCAGCTGAGGCCTCACCAGTGCTGACTAGAGTGGGACAGTTGTCTCCTGTATCTGACATACATCGCTCCTGTTAATACACCCCAGCATGATAGTCGCCTTTTTAGCAACTGCATCAGACTGTTAACTCCTAGTCAGTTTGTGATCCATTATAATCCCCAGATCCTTTTCAGCAGCACCACTGCCTAGCCAGCTACTCCCCGTTTTGGAGTTGCGCATTTGATTTTTCCTTCCTAAGTGAAGTACTGTGCACTTGTCTTTATAAAATTTCATCCTGTTGATTTCAGATCAGTTCTCCAATTTGTCTCGGCTGTTTTGATTTCTAATTCTGTCCTCCAAAGTGTTTGCAACCCCTCCCAGCATGGTGTCATCCACAGATTTTATAAGCATCCTCTCCCTCCGTTACTCAAGTCATTAATGAAAATATTGAGTAGCACGAGACCCAGTACAGCCTCCTGCCCACAGGGGGTAGGAACGGAGCAATTGCCCCACACTGGCCCCGCCCACAGGGGGTAGGAACGGAGCAATTGCCCCACACTGGCCCCACCCACAGGGGGGTAGGAAGGGAGCGATTGCCCCCCACTGGCCCCGCCCACAGGGGGTAGGAATGGAGCAATTGCCCCACACTGGCCCCACCCACAGGGGGTAGGAAGGGAGCGATTGCCCCCACTGGCCCCGCCCACAGGGGGTAGGAACGAAGCGATTGCCCCACACTGGCCCCGCCCACAGGGTGTAGGAAGGGAGCGATTGCCCCCCACTGGCCCCGCCCACAAGGGGTAGGAAGGGAGCGATTGCCCCCCACTGGCCCCGCCCACAGGGGGTAGGAAGGGAGCGATTGCCCCCCACTGGCCCCGCCCACACGGGGTAGGAAGGGAGCGATTGCCCCACACTGGCCCCACCCATAGGGGGTCGGAGGGGAGCCCTGCTCACAGGAATCCTGTATGCTGCTTGGAACATTTGAATCTGCTTTATGGAAAGAGAGGCTATTGGCCGGGTTAACTCCCTGCTCATCAGGAAGTGCCAGGGGATTGTTCACTGATTTCAACGCCAGGGTCCATTGTGCCCACCAAGCCTGACCTCCTGCATGTTACAGGGCAGAGACCCTCGCCCCGCGATTCCTGCAGCCCGCCCAGAACTGGCCGCTGAGCTCGAGTGTATCTTAGAGAATATATTTTTCCTTCTGAGGAGTGTCCAGCCCTGTCTGCTGCTCAGAGCTCAGATCTGAAAGCTCTGGGCATGGGCTTGTTGCTAACCTTGCTGGAGGCCTCTGTCGGTCAGCATTTGGGGAGCTGGGTGAGGGAGCTTGGGGGTCAGGAATTGGTCCATGGGAAGAGCACTTGGACGGACAGGTCTGTTAATATTGTTGTTATTCATTAATCTTATAGTGGCTCAAATGTGCCGGGCACTTCCCAGACAACACAGAAGGATGTGGTCCCTGCCCTATGATACAGTGACTGCGGGTGACAAGCAGTGGTGGGGGGCTGGGGGCAGATGGTGAAGAGGGAGTTCATGATAAGCATCTCCAGGTAGTTCTGTTTGATTTGATAGGTCTGGTGGGAGAAGGAAAGAGGGAAGGGTTGAGCTGGCAGGCCAGGCAGTTTGTACCGGGGAGAGGTGAAGCCATAAGTGATCCAGAGAGGCAGAGGTGTCAATTCTTGTAAGGCCTGAGGCAATGGAGAAGGGGGAGCCAATGAGGAGACTCAAACAGGGGAGAGCCTTGGTCAGATCCACCTGGAAGATCATTTCAGCATCCACATTTTGGACATCCTGAAAGGGGTGGTAGGGAGGTCAGAGTGGGTAAACAAAGTGAATGGGGACAAGGGACGGATAGGCCATGGCGGGGAAAGGGATGGGGAGGGGATGTATAGGGATGGTGGGGAGGCTACAGAGGGAGTGGGGATGGGTAGGATGTAGAAATGTAGGGCTGGAAGGGACCTTGGGAGCTCATCTAGTCCAGCCACCTCTGCTGAGGCAGGACCAAGTAAACCTGGACCTTCCCTGACAGCAGATTTTTTTCAACCTCTTCCTAAAAACCTCCTATGATGGAGATTCCACACCCTCCCCGGTAGCCTTATTCCAGAGTTTAACGATCTTTGTAGTTAGAAAGTTTTTCCTAATAGCTAATCTAAATCTCCCCTGGTGCAGATTAAGCCAATTGCTTCCTGTTCTACCGTTAGTGGACAAGGAGAACAATTAATTCCCATCCTCTTTATAACAGCCGTTAACATATTGGAAGACTGTTATCAGGTCCCCCCCCCTTAATCTTCCTGTCTCAGGACTAGACAAGCCCAGAATCTTCCCTCCTAGGCCAGGCTTTCTACACCTGGTCCATATCTGCCTTAAAATGTGGTGCCCAGAGCTGGACACAGGACTCCAGCTGAGGCCTCACCAGTGCTGACTAGAGTGGGACAGTTGTCTCCTGTATCTGACATACATCGCTCCTGTTAATACACCCCAGCATGATAGTCGCCTTTTTAGCAACTGCATCAGACTGTTAACTCCTAGTCAGTTTGTGATCCATTATAATCCCCAGATCCTTTTCAGCAGCACCACTGCCTAGCCAGCTACTCCCCGTTTTGGAGTTGCGCGTTTGATTTTTCCTTCCTAAGTGAAGTACTGTGCACTTGTCTTTATAAAATTTCATCCTGTTGATTTCAGATCAATTCTCCAATTTGCCACGGCTGTTTTGAATCCTAATCCTGTCCTCCAAAGTGCTTGCAACCCCTCCCAGCATGGTGCCATCCACAGATTTTATAAGCATCCTCTCCCTCCGTTACTCAAGTCATTAATGAAAATATTGAGTAGCACGAGACCCAGTACAGATCCCTGTAGGACCCAACAAGAAACATCCTCCCAGATCCCACATGGAGGGAATGGGGATGGGGATGGGGATGGGAGTGGGTCGGATGTGGAGGGAAGGGGATGGGAGTGGGTAAGATGGGAACGGGGTGGAGACAGGGAGTGGGTAGGCCGTGGAAGGGATGGAGATGGGGACATAAGTGCAGAGAAGGGCGACCCTTCACATTTGTACGGAATGAAGAGCATGGTTCATTCACAGCAGAAGAGTCATTATCTCCATCCAAATTCAGCTTTTGCTACAGGTGGGTCCCCCATGCAACAGGCAATTTCCATTTCTATACCAAGTGGGACCCTGGTGCAAACCCCCGGAGCGGGAGACCTGCAGAAGCAGAGACTTTATTGCTCCCCTATAGGGGAATGGGAAAACTGAAGGGGCTTAAATGGGAACCTGCCTAAGGGCTAGAGCCATACAGTTGGCGTCTGTGTAACCCCTCAGCTGGCTCCACTCCAGCAGGAGACTGCTGGGGCCTTGTGCAGGCACTAATGGCCATTGTGCTCTTCACAGCATCTTGTCTGTCTCATTAGCCAGTGTATGTCTTGGTATTCACACTCTTCGGCACTGGGGGGTTTGCTTCCTCACTAAGCAGGCTATATTCCACTGGGTTGTTTTGGTAGGGTTGCTTATAAGTTCTAGGGGCTAATGGGGAAAAGCAAGAGAAACCAAAGGTGTGTGGGGGGGGGGGGGGGGCAGATGGCCTGACTGCAGAAGCATGGACTTTGCAGCACCATATTTGCCCCCCAGATCTCCCCTTCACAGCGACGCTGAGCTCAGGCTGCCCTTCCACCCACCCACCCACCAGTAGAGGGACCAGCATTTAGATGTTTGTTTCTCTTGTCGTTCACTCAGGGCCAGTGCTACCATTAAGGCGAACTAGGCAGTTGCCTAGGGCGCCAAGATTTGGGGGCGCCAAAAAGCGGTGCCCCCAATTGTTTTTTTTACAGCGTTCCTCCCCGAGCGCGCGGTCGCCTCTCCACTTCTCCCGCCTCCCAGGCTTGCGGCGCCAATCAGCTGTTTGGCGCCGCAAGCCTGGGAGGAGAATTAGAGCCGGGGTGGCGTGCTCAGGGGAGGAGGCGGAGCAGAGGTGAGCTGGGGTAGGGAGGTGCCGCACAGCTCCCCAGGCCGGGGGGGGGGGGGCGGCGCGGGGGGGGGAGGGGGGGGGCCGGGGGGCGGAGGGGGGGCGGGGAGCTGCCGCAGGGCTGGGGGGGTGGGGGCGCAAGGTGGAAGTTTCGCCTAGGGCGCAAAACTTCCTTGCACCGGCCCTGCGTTCACTCAACCAATCCCTCCAACAAGGCTCTCCTGATCCCCGGGTATTGAACAGCGTGCTGGGAGCTGTCGCTTTGCACCGTTTGCCAAGGTTCGCTGCTGGCCTCAGAAGCGAGGAGCTGCTGCACTCAAGCACCGCTTAGCCCCATGGCTTCCCCAGTCACTGAGTTGTTGCCCCCCCCCCC